TGAGATTTACTCTAATTCTTCAATCTCCCCCATATGCGGTAAAAAAAAACGTCCCTAATAAATTTCTCTTCCTTTTGAATAGGGAAGACAGACGTATGATTCCAATCTTTGCAGACTCCACCTTCTCGCCTGCTTACTATCCCCTTTCCAATATCATGGTCAAGGCGTCTGCAAAATCTTATTTTATGACCCAGAACCCACAGTATATGCATTTCCAAAGCTTACGAAACCTAAAAGTTTTTCTTGCCTTGACTCCCTGATTCGGCCAAATTATGCGCAACCCATACTTGCAAGCAGACGGATCGGACGAGCGTCCGGTCCGGTCCGCTTTGCCGCGTGCGGCAAGGACCCGGACCGGACCGGACAGGGGCGTTTTTTTTTTTTTTTGGGGGGGGGGGGGGGGGGGSGTAACTGGTCGTCGGCCGCACATTTGTGCGCAGCACGGGTCCGGTCCAGTGGTCTGCCGCACGTGCGGAACCGCCCGGACGGCGTGCGCTTGCAAGTATGGCGCAACCCTTTCAACTTTAGTAAGCTTACGAGGTCGCCCCAATTGGTCAGACTCACTATCTAACTTCCTTTTACCCTTCAACATCCTATCTTCAGGGGATTCCGGAAACTTGTTGCGAAAGGAGTCCAATATCAGACTTCAATATTTCGGCGATAAAATTCAAGTTAAAAAGAAACTTGTGATGCTCTTCAGAATTCATTCGCATTGCCAAACCCTGAAATGCTTGCAAGAAACTTCAAAGAGAGGACTCATATAAGCAATTTTTCCTCTCATCATTACGATGCCCTGCAAGGGGCAACATACTTTATTAATAAATAGGGGAAATAATCATTTGACCTACAATCTTATCATTTCAATACTAACGAGATCAGTTTTAACCGGCTGGTTAAAAAAATCTTTAGTACCACTCACTTTTTCAAATAGAACAATGAGTGGTTAGATTATTCCAGGCTTCAAAAAGATTCTATCATATTTTCAAAGTGTTATTCAATAATAATACCCGGGTGTCATTCCGCCAGAGATAACGGTAAATAGTTGCTGTCCTCGGCAACAGCGCCACCTGTCGAGCGCATCGGCTCCCGCCTTTTTCGCAAAGCGCGGGAGCCCTCCCGACTATGTGATGCAGGAGTTAAAACAAAAATAAAATCAAGAAACAACTTAGGACGATGCATAAATAATCCTGCGAACCGCCGAGACGGACGCGGTTGCATTGCCCCTTCGCCGCTCTAGCCGGGTGCGCCAACTGTACATCCCACGGTCCCCTTTTTAGCCCACTTAGGCCCTGAATCGCGCGGCTGTTACATTATTTTAGGTAGGATAGGTATAAAATTACCATATTCTACGGCCATATGTCTGTGCGGCGTTACCAACATGGGAAGAAACTGGTCACGCTGCCGGTTCTTACCGTCGATTCCACATGCCGCAGACATCATGTTTCAGGTTTAATAAGTCTTAGTCTTTCAGTCATAGGTCAAGTTCGAATAGACTTATGGTAGATAACCCATCTCATCAAGTTACGAAGCCCGAATAACCATTTACTAAGTCGGACATCGTTCGACATTTAAAAACACTGGGCAGATACCCTTGTCAGGGTTTCTGCCCCGACAGCGTTGAGTAGAGTAGAGCGGAGCGGAGAAAAGTCTAGTGGAGTGGAGTGGAGTGGAGTAGTGTGTAGAAGAGTGGAGTAGTGTGTAGAAGAGTGGAGTAGTGTGTAGAAGAGTGGAGTGGAGGAGAGTGGAGTGGAGTAGAGTGGAGTAGAGTAGAGTGGAGAGGAGTTGGGAAGTGTAGAGTAAAGCGAAGCGGAGTGGAGTAGAATAGAGAAGATTTGTGTACCTCAACTGGACCTATACGCTAAAATAAACTAAAATGACACTAAAAACGGGCTCAACCTGACTCTAATAAAGCAAAATAGTTTAGAGTGGAATAGAGTAGAGTAAAGCAAAGTAGAGTAG